AGATATCGTAATTATATTATTTATTTTTATTCCCCGTGAGATGATTATTTTATTTTCCATTTTTTTATTCACGTATTTTCGTATAAAAACTATTCTACGTATTTTTAAATGATTATTTTTAATTTCTATATCGTTAAGAAAAAATATTGAGGGAATGATGAGTGATAGATGATCTTTAGGGGGGAATAAAAAAAAAAAAAACAAAAAAAGAGAGAAAAAGAAAATAAGTCGATAAAGGAATGAACGTTTTTCATGATTGCCTACTGTTCATTATAAATATCTAGATCAAGTTAGTATAGAATACGAATGGTATTTATACGTATATAATATCTGTATATACGTGTATGCGTGCGTTTACTTATGTATTTGTATAATCGTGCAGTAGCTAGCACACTCGTTACTCTTGAAACTGTTTATGCATGTTGTTTTATCGATATTCTCTTCGATGGCGCTTCTTTTTCAAGAATATTTTCAACATATTGTACACACATAAACACGTAAACATTAATTTAACAAATGTTGTTCATTAATTCATATTATTATAATAATTCAACGCGGTATAATATATCATATATAAAATATCGTCGTTTATTTTAAATCAATATAATTTTTTTTCATAATTTAAATTAAATAATAAACAATATGTCATCTCTTGTCAAATCATAGAAATAATATAAAAACCATTGAAATACAATATAACAAATGTATTATACGATTTAATATATAATAATAACAACACGATATTAAGAGATAATAATATAATGAAAAAATAGATTTGTTATAAAAATGATTGAACAATCAAGTTAATAATATCAATTCTTTTTTTTTTGTCCCTTAGCGATACCGCAACGGTAAACGATACAATTATTAACACGTTCCGTCGGTAGGGAATGTCGATGAAGGATTAGCCTGGCTGCTCGTGGTACACATGCCGTGCGTGTTCTCTCGATCTCGAATAGTGGAACAGGGCCGCGAGAGAGGGTGAAGGGGTTGAGAAAGAGAAAGAGAAAGAGAGAGAGAGAGAGAAAGGGTGAGGGTGAGGGTGAGGGAGAAAGTAAGCAGGCAGATTGTGGCCGTAGTTGAGCAGGTCGGTGACATGTATGCGGCTCACCTCGACGTCCCTGCAGGGCGCCGTTCCACAAACGGCGACCTGAACAGAGTCCCCGAGTTTTGTGTGTTACGGGGTTCGGTGTGGTGCTAATATAGCGTGCTGTGTTAGTAGAGTACAGCACCATTTACCCTTCTTCTCACTCTTTCTGCAACCCTGTCGAAGGTGGTGCAGGGGTAGGCCAGGTGTAGGGGCAGGGGCAGGGGCAGGGGTAGGGGAGTGGGTGGAGTAGGTGGAAAAGGTGGTGGAATACACACGCGAGAAACGGAGCTTGGAAGCTCAGAGCTTTGCTAAAGGAAAAGAAGTACGCGGTCAACCTGCTGACCAACTATGGAAACGCCTCCTCCTGCTTACCACTATMCCTGCCATAAAGCAGGTTATGCATGCTGGGTCAGGAAAGAGAGAGGAGTCAGTTATACCGACGCCGTCCTACCATTCGCGTCACTCATTTGCCTTTCGAGAAACGATAACCAAAACTTAAACTCATACTTAAACTTAAACTTAAACTTAAACATTAAACTTCAAACGAAAGTCAACAGATAGTTTTTTTTGTCGCGATTAATATCCATTTTTTGTTCATTCGAGATAATATATATATATATATATATATATATTATATATTATATATTATATATGTATATATATATATAACTTGTGTGGCAGAACTTGTCGTTCTCTACCACCTGCTCGACCCGCTCGACCTTTCTATCTACCTGCTGTCTTCTTTCATTTCGGACAACAGTTGATTCGACTTAGTCGTTTCTATTGTGAATATTAGCCTTGTTTGACCGATCCGTCGTCACGTGCTACGAGAAACTTCTCGGTAAATTTTTCTTTATTCTCTTTAATTCGAATATACTATTTCTCTCTTTCTTAGCTATCTTTTTTCTTTTTCTTTTTGAATTCTGTCAATTATTCTCAGGAATATCATCCTGGTTCATTTATCCTGTCTCGTAGTTTTGGATTCCACGTGACACCGTTCCTTTTCGATGAGCTAAGGGGATAATTGGATTATTAACGTTGTCGTCTTGTTTTCGTGTTATATTTCGATTAGAATCTTTGTACAAGTTTGATTACTTAAATAATAATTATACAATAGTTAGGAAAATGGGTTGAAATATTATAACGTATTTAGAATTCCATATCGTTTTGAAATATTTCCTAAGGGGAAAATGTTTAAGTGGAATTTTATTAAATTTTTGAATAGAGTCTCTCGGTTGAATTGTTTTTAAATCAATTTAAGATAAACTATAGTTTATTTATCCATCGTTCATACATTTTACAAGGGAAATTTGTTTAATTTACATATTGTTGGAATGGAAATTTCTTAGAGAGTTTAAAGTAACCATAAATAGTTGTCTCTTAAAACAGCGACTATCTTCAGAGCTAAATCTTTTTCAATAAGGTCGGTAAAAAGAGTACGACCTTTATTTCAATTTACAAAAATTTTATTTCCATCGAAACTGGACTTGGAAAGACAATTTTGATATAGGTTCTTTATTTAACCCAGTTTTCATCTTTATTTATATTCCTTTGACAAGACTTTATCGATGGGTCAGTTCGGAAGAATCGACTGAACGAAAAGGAGGTTAGCGTTACAGTTCAACCAAATCCTCGACTATTTCGTAGTATTGAACGGGCGCTAGTGGCGCTTCGAAATACCGACATCTCTCGGGTTCTAGTCAAATCAGCTAGCTGTTGAAAATTTTGGCGGGATTTGACGGAACTTATGAATTTAGGCGGGATTTAACGGAACTTATGAATTTAGGCGGGAAACCGAGTAAAATCGTTCGTCGAAGTATACGAAATTGATTTAAAAGTATAAGGACGATTTAAAAATGATCTAAATATCCAAATAAGATAGGAAAGACAACAATAAATTAAAAAACAATGCATAATATTGTTTCAAACAATTGAATGCAAACGCGTGACGCATTTGTTTAGTGCGTATATTATTTTGAGTTGTGTTTAAGGTATCATTCATTAAAAAAGAATCATCAACGTAGAAACATCCCTAGTCGTATATTCATTTTTCTCGTTTCATTGATATTATTTGTGATTTGAAGAACGCGGCATATTTGGTATCTCCATCATACGGTATTCAGTTGAACTAAAGGCATTTGATGAGGAGCGTCAAAGGGGTGACTTTTGGTTATCCAACTAGGGGTTGATTGGACAAATAGGGAGGGGCATAACGAAGTGGTAGATGTTCAATGTGAATGGAAGTATCCATTCGTATAAATGTAAATTGATTAGTTCAGGGTAAAAGCTTTTTCCTAAGGTCGAAATAAAGTTAAATGGGAATGTTGTTATGTAGGTCGACTGTTTCCCGCTTATTCGGGACGATCTCATCATCACTGACCTAGCGAACGCGCCACGCTGAGCTATTTCTAACGCAGACGCTCTGTCTGGCCAGTACGTCCCTACACCACTGTTTGGAACATCCCACCCACCAGCTGTCTCTCGCATACGTACACACTTGATACGAGATCTCTCTCTTTAGTTAACTCAGTGCTGCCACCAGGCGCTTCCTTCAAAAATTAGGAACATGGCTGCCAGGGAGTGGAGGGAGCGGCCAGTGGTGGTTGATCGTGGTGCGAAGTTGAACGTTTCTAAGCGTACGAATAAACTATCATACTCCTTAGTACATTCCATTGTGAACGATATCGTATGTAGAAAAATTAGTGTCTCATCGTTGGTAGTGTCACGTTGTCAAAAGCTCGTTATCTCGTTCAAGGACGCGATGAGACTTGCGAAATCGAATTGAGATGATCGACCAGTTTACCAGTCTGCTGCTGCTGCTGATGCTGCTAATGTCTTCTCATTAATATATCATGTTTAATTTAATCTTCGATCGTGTCAAGGTTTTTATCCAAATCGTGTTAAAGTTTCGTGAAAGAGAAAAAAAAAGGATAAGTAGTTTAAAGGAGGCCGGTAAACTTTTCGAGTAGCGTAGAGTCACTCGGGCACGCGTTTTTTGCGCCACCCAGCGGTATTTTTCTCAATCATAGAGCGAAGGTTTAGCCTGTTAGCGGGTTGGTTGCGCGCCGCCCTCGTCGCGAATAGAGTCGGCGTGATCGTAACCGCGAAGAAAGGATTCATCGTATAAGTTAGCACCGTGTTAACCTCTTGCACGCGTTCTTATCCTATTGTTAATCATCACCACCCATATCATCTATATCCCATTTCTAACCGTTCAAAATTCATCTTTCATTTTTTTCTTTTTTTCTTTTACATTACTTCTCATATCCACCATCTTTCATTAAAACGTGACGGACGAATATTTTGAGCATCATCGTAATCATCGTCATCGTAATCATCGTAATCATCGTCGTCTTCGTTGTCGTCGTCGTGAGAAAAACGGGGTTTGATAATCGGGGGAAAATAAAAGAGAAAGAAAGAAATTAAAGAAAGAGAGAAATCTAAATGGCGAGGAGGAGAATATGGGATAGGGGAAATAAATAGTAAGAGGCCGAGGGGTGGAAAAATAAAAAGCGTCGTGCATGAGGCCGAGGAAGGGAAGGTACCGGGTCGGGACCGGTCGGTGGGTCGCCTTGTATTTTGGGTGTTATTCGAGCGTGCTGTCGCAGAAGAGAGGAGGAGTACGAGGAGAAGAGGAAATTAAGGAAGAAGAGGAAGAAGAGAGAGGTGGTGGTGGTGGTGGTGGTGGTGGCGGCGGCGGTGGCGGAGGTAGTTGTGGTGGTGGAGGAAGAGGAAGAGGAAGGATTAAGAATAAAGAAAGAAGAGAATTTGTAATTGGAAGAAATAGTAGAGGAGGAATAGGAAGAATACTGATAAGTTGAAGAGAAAGGATAATAAGTAGAAGGAAGGAAGGAAGAGTGGAAAGAAAGTAAGAAAAATATAATAAGAAGAATAGTTACGAAATAAGAGGAAGAGGAAGGGGAGGAGGAGAAGGAGAAGAAGAAGAAGAAGGAGGAGGAGGAGGAGGAGGAGGAGAGTAGAGGAGGAGTTTACGGCTTTGAATCGAGGATTTGAATGGGTGGGCCAGGAGCCGGTAGGGTAACAGGGCACGAGCTAAACGCGGTGCCAAAGAGCAACGTCGGTCACGGGGATCGGATCCTCGTAATCGGCGAGCCACCAGCACCAGGCTGTCCTTGTCATTCTGCTTGTCCTGCTCGCGGTCTAGCACAAGGCGTCGCCTCCGCCCAATCGCCGGCCTCGCCGCCGTCTCTCACCTCCCTTCACATTGCCAATAACAACAATTGTTCTATACTTACCGGCAATAATAATCGTAATAATCGTAATCGAAATCGCAACCGTAACAACAATACCAACAACAACAACGACCATTCGTCAAACGTTGTACCGAACGGTAGCAGTATCAATACCAGCACAAAAGCTAAGGCAGCAGCTGCCATGTCCTCACCACCAAAGCATCGAAGGGCCTTCGACCCTAATGACGCTACGGTCAACGATTTTCGCCGCTATCGTCGTGTTAAGACGAGACAGCGGTGAGTCTACCTAACCTTCTTCTTCTTCTACTACTTATTATTATTATTATTATTATTATTATTTGTTTTAATTATTAATATATAATTCCTCCCCTTCACTTTCCCATTTTCTTTTCTACCCCGTCCCCTTCCCTTCTTTTTTCCTTTTCACTCTACTCCGTTTTTTGATATATTCTTATCATCTTATTATCGTTCGTTATTATTATTATATACCATTACTGTTACCCAATTACGAAATTATATCAGTTTCCTCTATCTTTGACTTCCTTCTTTTCCCCCTTTTCTTTTTTTCTTTTTCTTTTTTTTAATCCGACGTCTATCGTCTTTTTTTCGATATGCGAGTACAAAATCAGTTCCCATATATAAGCTCGTATATATATATCAAAGTCCTTTTTAAATACATTGGATCCGGGACACATCGGGATTGGATGACCCTCTTTCTTTGAGGGTCATCAATTTGAGGCCTGATTCAATTATTGCTTTTTTAAATGAAACCTTAATGGGTTTTTATCCGAATAAGATGAAAGTTTTATGATAGTAACCGGGAAATAATAATACGCGTGTTTTGTGTATCTGTCTATCTGTCTGTGTGTGTGTGATATTAAGAACGAAATAAATTTCTATTCTATGACACAATCTCTCGTAGTTTTTTTTTTAATAATTCACTTTACTCGATTCTCGAATCATATTGAGTCGTTTTCCTTCCGGGATAATCCCATCGTGAATCATCTTTTTCTTTTCCCCTATATCTATCTCTCTCTCTCTCTCGTTCTTTCTCTTTTTATCTCAATCTCTTTAAATGTCATGTACAATAGATTGGGGATAGAAGGATTGCGCGTTCCGGATTTTCCAAGGGAATGTCACGGGGATGTACTGCAGTGACACGTGCTGCGCCTGTCACCGATTCGACGTTGAACTATACATTAGGTCAAATCGATCGCTTTTGATAACGTTATAGTAAACGTACTTTTGCATATGTTGGTTAACATTACTAATTTCTCTTTTTTTTTTGGGATTTAATTTTGAACCCTATTTCGCGTCGTACACTTTTTCTTTGTTTCTTCAATTAAATTTTTTATTGGTTGTTATTAAAAAAAAAAAAACGAAAAAAAGAAAATTCGAATTGTTATTTATTTCATTTTGATTTTTTTTTCTTTAAAAGACGTGGCGTGATTTTACGCGTGATTCGAATCATTGCAATAAGGAATTTGATGGACCTACGTTTACTAAATAAGGGAGAGAGAGAGAGAGAGAGAGAGAGATAGGAATAGAGTAGTACAAAGGGAAAATGCGATAGACCGGAAGACGATAGACCTAACAATCTCCAGTGTTTAACCCTCCATTCCTGAACCCTTCCACTTCACGCAGCTTCCACTGATGCCGAATGCACAATGTTCACAGAGGCTTTGTATGTTCCACACCGTGACCTTGGGCGACGGACACAGACCTTCCTGACATCTCCCGACACATCCATCAGCACTAAAGGCATTCAAACACACACAAGCTTGCGATGTTCGATGTTGGGCCGCTTATTACATGGTTGTAATATCCCCTGCCATGAAAAAAAAAA